AGAGACAAGTGAAGCCGATCCTTTGACCAAACGTGTGCTAAACAATTGTGGTATCTTCCCTTCTGCCCTGAATTATTCGTATTACCGGTATCATCCTATCATGCCTTCACTATTACACTTTTTTACCGTGTTTATTTAGATATAATGTGGTGTGGTCTTTTGAGCTACATGAAACCTTCACACTCCAATTGTCGTTATCCCCCCCTTACCACTTCATTTTCGTGCAGGAAATGTTCATCAGAGTCTGCTTTATTATTATGCAGTCCTCTTTCCTAGTCTTATCCCAGTCTCTCTTTCTCCTTTAAATCCGCCTGCTCTACCCCTTGTTCACTTATTTTTCTCTACTCCTGCCACCACATCTGTCCTACTCGAGGCTATATTTGCCCTCCCCTTCGTCTGGGTCACTAATTCGATGCACAAGCCTCTGAGTTTCATGGTCACCCATTTGCTACATGTACCACATCTCTGGTACAACAGACCTACCGTCAGCCAACTAGCTCCTGTCCCCGCCGTCTCCATCCTGTTTGTATCCCTATTACCAAGTCTATGATTTGCCAACCCACAAATTTTGTGGTACAGCATGTTTTGATTTGGTTTAATGCTGAACCACAACATTTGTGGGTTGGCTCTCATTTACTAGACTTGAGGTATTTTGTACTAAAGATCTTTGCCAAATTACTTGTCCAAATTTTCAACCACTTTGTAACATGTTCTATCATTAGAGCGGCAAGCTCTTCTGTATTGTGCTCAACATAGCATACAGAGTGATAGGGAAAACAACCCTGGAACCCCTTTGAACCACAATTGTGTCAGTATCCAAGGCATTAGTTCTGACTTTGTAAAATCTTTTATTTAAAAACCAAGCTTTGAGTCTAGCTGATATATCCAAATGACTCATTTTTGACGTGACCTAATATGCTTTATCATGTTCTTTAAAAATATTATACTAATCTTTTGTGACTTGTTATAGCTTAAAATAAGGCATTTAAATATGGACCTCTTTATTAAACTTTACTATGCGATACTAACTGTTCTAACGTGTCGGATACCTGTTCGCTCTATTTTAAAATTTTACGCGATAACATTTTTTTGAGTAATAAGTATTTGTTTGGCCTGAATATTTGATTTTCAGATTTAAGTTCGACATGTTTTAAGGAATACGATATCATATTAACTCATTTCTGAATAACGCAATCGTGGCTTTAGCTGTGTTTTGGATCTGCTGCTTAATTATATGTGATTTGAAGTAAAGCTACTAAAATTAAATCCGTCTGCTTACTCCTTTATGACCCTTCGCTTTGCATATTCATTCATCTGGCCAAAAGAGATGATGTTCCTTTTATCATCAAATCCCATACCAAATCGAAGATACCATTAAGATTTTCCTAATTTTGCGTGTCTTATTTATATTTTTTTGTATATTGCTCTTATCCACCCCTTATTCTCTTTGGCTTCATAGTTAATTTCATCATTTGTCTTGCCACCCCTTCGAGCTATACTCAATTTCCTCCAGATTCTGCTTTATTTCATTCTCAGCTACCTTAAAATGATTAGATTACCTCGCTTGTAATTAGACACGTTAACAGGTAAATATATTGAGCAATTCTGATTTTAATTTGGGACGGCTACTGGCATCTGTTCTTATTTTTTCAATAAGTAACATTATAAGTGTTTTTGTACCATATTATGGGTACCGAGTACACTGATATTTCCCACTTCGTGGTCTATGTTTATTCAATCTCTTCTCCTTAATACAATCTCATTGATTTTGACATGAGGGCCCCAATCTTAGCTCATACAATCAGCATTCTTTCTTTGCCACTTTATTCAGTAGCTATTTGTCTGGTACGCCTGAAATAAAAACATTTTCTTTTTAAAAATTACGCGTGTGTAAATAAGTTATTATTTTTGAAAATGTTGTTTAATTTATCTTGAGTTAGTGGCCATCAGAAACTGATATCTTAGATTCCATAGAGTTTCCGTTCATTTGTATTTCACTTAGACGTCAACTTTCTGTTGTACTTTGTCAACTTTTATTCATCCCTCTGCACGCCCTCTGTCATAACTATTTCGGTAGGTTATACTTTGGTTCGTACATGTTAATATTAAGGTAGGGTTGTTTTTTGTATCGTATTTATACCTAATCATGGAGTATAGTTTATTACAAATTACTTTTTTACCCTTATCGCTGGACTGTTTCATCCCTTCCTAAGGAAATATTTCCCTAACTGTTCTCTAAATATGTCTTAGATTTGTTTGTAAGAGTTGTGTTTTGGCTATAATTTATGGGACAAATGAGTTCTCTATTAACTAAGTTTCCGCGATTTCCACGTTTATTTACCTGAAATTTTTCGGATGCTTAATTTTTATTCATAATTCTTAATATATAGTAAACATAATTTATAAAACTTAATTATGACATCTCTGTGAGTCTTATTTCTTTCAATATTTTTAAAATTCCCTACTATGGATTCCATTACCACATTATAATTTTTCTCCTTTTGCAATTTCTTTTTCCTAGGTCTGGCGCCTAGATACCATAGTAGGTATGCTCTACCACGGCATGCCGATGTCAAGCACTGACACTAATATCATGGTGCACACATGCGACCAAGAGCTCTGCGTTCGACCTCAACACATACGCTTCCGGGCTAGCTCGGTTGCCCTAGTTGTGGTGCTAAAGGCTCTGGCTCAGGCTGGTTATCGCCTCACACCTCCTGGCCCCTCCACTGGTCTTCTGA